ACTTTTTTAAAGGAAGGAATTGAGCAAGAGGCCCATAAGGAAACTTCCCTTATTATAGGCAAATCTGATTTTTAATGAATTTTCCCATTTTAATTTTCTGGGGAGAAAGGAAACTAGAAAGCACCCAAGAACCCTGAGCTTGGGTGTCAGCTGAAGCTGAGGGAGAGGGCGATGGTCCAAGTAAACACCAGCAGTGACTGTCTTTGAACATGAACGTGATAAAACCTACTGTTTTCTCTCCTCTGTTGTTTTCATTTTTATAGGATGGGGTCAGTAGCTGAGCAGCATTCTCAAGGGATGATTTTGGAAAAAGAAGATGCAGCTATCAGTCAACAAAAGGGTACTAAAAAGAATCCACCTAAATTTGGCTGTCTCTTTGCCACTCCATCACTAGCAATCGTAACCCAACTTCCTTGTGAAGCCTTTTTCACACAATCTCAAGCTCCCGACCACTTAGGCATGCCTCCTAAGGAAGAATCTCAGAAAAGTTTACTCTTCGGCTATTCCCTGGATTTACCACAAGACAATGTCTTTGCCAATCAGAAGAATGTAATATTTGTTCTATTTTCTCCATTGGTTCCCTCTTCCTCTCCCTCTCCCTCCACTTTGGTTTGTTTTTATTTGGCTAAGCTGTAAAATTTACTTCAACTTTTTCCTTTTCAGGCTAGATGTGAACAAATTTCACTGCCAGGAAAATCATCTTATAAGAAATATCCAAATTGAGCTTTATGTAAAAATAATTACAAACAAGTTTTTCTATTGAACTAGTGAAATAGACAAGCCCCAATCAGTACCCTCTGGTACCAGTTCCGTCGAATTTTCCTCCCAAACCTCTAGAAAAATAATAATCTTGATCATTCACTTAAGTGAATATGGTCCAGAAATTATAACACAATGTAAAAGCAGATCTTAACATTTCCACATTCGGACCCTCCCAAGCAACAGCACATTTTTTATTAAAAAAAAAAAAAAACCTATTTCTCCATATCATCCCAGAATCTTCACAGGATAGTCAGTGTCCATAGCAATTTGCTGGCAGGTTAAGAAAGGTTAGCAGCAGCAGCGTAAAGACCAAAAGCTCCTGACACCACTCGGAAGCTATCACACTAACTATAATAACTCTCACTTTCAGAAAGAATGAAATTTGATATGAAAAAGGACTTAGTTCCATCTTCCTTTAACTCAGGCAGAGTCTCTATCTTTAGAGATTAGGGTGAAAGAACTTTGACCTTGGACTTATAAATATTCATAATGCATCTTGAATTTCAAGTTCCCTGAACAGTTACCAGAGCAAGCTTCTTGCTAATTGATGATGGCTTGCCAGGAATTTTTTCTTTTGCATTTACGAACTCGATCTCTGTGTCATACATATATCAGATTTCCTGTAACGTTTCTGTAACATTTAACATCGTGTTGCCACATACTTGTTAAAATGTTGACAAGGATACCGTTTGTGATGAAAAAAACAAACAAACAAGAAAAAATTACTCAATCCAATAGCATTGACTAAAGGAACAAATATCCACTTGAATTTCCAAATCTCCTTCTTAGTATTGAGGGCTCAGATTCTGAAGATTAACTTTTATATTTTCTTAAGGTTGAGAATATAAGTGAACTCCAAAACAGATGAATATGACTCAGGCATTGTAAAGAAGTAAAGAAATTCATTAATTTGAAAT